TCCGTCGTTCTTTCTGTCTTATTTCGATCGGTTTGTTTTGTCGCACAAGAGAGAACATAGAACAGCTTTCGATTCTCTTCTTTTTTTTTTTTTGCTTCTCCTATTTCTTAACAATATCAACATGTAATAGAATCACCATCGACCAGTGATTTCTTACTTATTTGGTTTCTATTCGATAAAAAAAAAAAGAAATGCAAGCAATGCTTCATATTGTAAAATTAGATAAGCAAAAATAGCACGTGCATACATGCCTCAATCTGATATGATAATAAAAGATGAAAGAAGAAAAAAAAATGTGAATAAAAGAAACAAAGAAAAATCAACTTTTATGCTCGCCATTATTTGCGTTTTCTCTTTTTTTTCTCACTGATTCTTTAAGTATATATATATATATATACATTCGTTTTCTTTCTATGGTCAAGGCAAGTCAATTATCAGTAATTGTCTGTCAACCAACATGAGATTATTCTCATGTTGTAAATATGCGACCTTCAATTGCACTTCAATTCAACTTTTAATATTCAGTCAAACAAAAAAAAAAGAAATTTCATTTCATTCTTTCAATAGATGTCTCTCATAAATCTACATGTAAGAAGCAACAGAATAACGTATATCTATATCTATGTTGAATAACTATAGTAAACAGTAAAACCTATTCTATACGTGTATATATATGTTTATCCATTTGTCTTTGCCATTCAAAGAAGACAACTAACCCGTCTGATTAATATAATCGTGATAAGCATAAATTCTGATAAACAACCTAAATCGGAAGCATTTATTATGATGGGAAAAAAAAATATCGTGTTTTAAGACAAAAATATGACATATAAACGATAGTTTAGTTGCCCATATGAATAGAACTGATAGGAAGCAAAAAAATATGCGAGAGAAAAGTAAAAATAGTTCACATACTAAGCAAAATAAGGACATTAAGATGATGAAGAAGAAAAAGAAAGAGATGAGCAGCATGCATTCTCGTAAATTATTGCCTACAACTAAGAGAAGTATTCTACTGTTAACGATGCTATCGATAGTCAAAACTAAATCGACAATAAAAATGACATGATATAATGATCGAACGAGGCAAGAAAAAAAAAATACCAAGAAAGAAGTAATTAGATAAATAATGTTTTTCTTATGATTCTACTTTCTATTAATTTTTCTTTCTTGTCTCTTGAAAACCTCGTGTGTATGTTTTTTTAATATTACAAGTAGTATGATTAAAAATAGATTCAAGGTTAAGATGAAAATGAAAAAAAAAGAAAAAAAAGTAAAATGAGAAATTTTATTTCATACATACTTTGTCTTCCTGATCAAGGCTGCCACGTTTCGATATGTCATTTTCAGACTTGGCTCGTGAACGTTTCTATAATTTAAAATACAATGAAAAAAAGACACACATTATTATGTTATTCTTTTACAAATCTAATTTTTTTTTCTCTTTTTTATTAAATATGCGTATGTCTCTAGCGACTAACTATGTTCTTATTTATATATATATATAAGACTTACTTTGACACGAAACAGTTTCATTCGTAATTAATAAACGATAAAGAGACGCTAGCAGCGTGACTATCGTTGTTTCAATAATACTATTTTTTTAGCATATTAGTAACAATAATAACAAGTGTGATGGCAAAAACTGTTAAAGATGAAACATCGTCCACAAGAATACCAACAGAAGCGACTCATTATCATTCTACTACTAGGCATAGTCAGGAGAGAAAAGACTGATTTCCTGTTTGTCTTCTTCTCTTGCGTTTCTTTCTTCTTCTCTTTCTCTCTCCCTCTCTCTTTTTTCACTTTTTTTAACATGCTTCACACGCACGCATTCATATAAAAAACGCCTAACGAGCCATCACATTCTCACACATTCACCTAAACTGGCAAACTGAAGAAGAAACGAGCAAACGAGGAGAAAAAAAAACGAGCGTTATTCCGTAATGAAGAATAGTTAATAAATATATATATCTATATATGGCGTTTCCCAGGACATAAAAAATGAAGCGTGCCGTACACATTAGTAAATTCCTTAAAAAAATAGCACTGCGTCTCCGTTCACTACCGTTTATATAGTAACACCTGCATACACATTGGCATGCGCAGACGAAGGAAACTTTCCTTTTTCTTATTATTCTTTCAGTAGGTAAAGAAAATGATTGAATAAGCATGATTTCCGATCAATATAATATAGGACAAAATAAAATTGATTAAAAATTAATTTTTCTTTTTGTCTTTTTTTTTCGGAAAAGAAAGCATGTATTTTATACTATGACTTTCTAATAAATTAATTTGTCTGATTTTTGCGTAACAAGTTCTTGCTGTCACAGATGCATACGCATATATGCATACACTTGATAATTGTGTATGACTACGTTTAAAATGAGATGACAAACGAAAGAATTCGAGCTGTCGCCCATATATATATATATATATATATGTATACACTTGACCCAACTATATAAAATACGACTGAATCTGCATAATACTATAAGTTATCGGATGAATCTTGAAGATATATTTGATTACACAAGACAATATACAACTATCTCTAATAAGATTTTAATTTGAGCAAGAGTAATAACAATATCGTAAATTCTTATTATTGTTTTCTTTTTCTTGATGATGTAATCGAAAAAAGAACTGTATGTAAGTATATATATACACATACATATATATATATATATATAAGATTCTTAAAAGATACATGAATATTTATCAAGAGTATCTTAATGCACGTGTATAAGCTCATATTTATCAGTAATCAATCGTGATTTTCATTTTAATAGTATTCAATGAATCTGTCACGTAAATCTATATTCTCAAAATATTCACCGATTTTTCTTTTTTTTTTTCGCATAGAGATATGCGTACGCGGATGTCATTCAGGTGTTAATCTACACGTCAAAATGATCAATTTATAGCATATAAAAAAAAATAATAGACGTTTATATTAACAAATAACTAGATTAGAATGATTGTTATTTTTAGTTTTTATTTTCAATATCTATAAAAGAAAACAAAAGCTAATGGTTTTTTGATGCACTGACGTAATGAGTAAATAGAAACTCTGATGAAAAACAAATGTATATGATGAAAGGTCAGGTTCAACATGTGTAATTCTAGAATAATAACCAAAAGGCTTTCTTTTTTAATCATCCTTTCATTTTCTTTTTTTTAAAGATTAAATTATAGACAGTAAGATAAGTGTTACGTTGAAAAATAAGTAACAACATAGAATTTTAAAAACTAAGATTTTTATTCTTATCAATTTTTTTCAAGGATGAAACAAATTGAATTATGAAATAGATCAAAATTATTCGTTAAAGACGTACACAAGACTTTTTTTTTGTAATAAATCTGCAAGAATTTATAAAAATAAATCTAACGATACGAAATTTGAATGTTGACATAATTCTTATCATTGTCTTCAATAGTTATTATCATTTATTACTGTATTCCATGATGTTCTCTTGTCATCGAGTCATTAATTTCTTTTCATCTATCCCATTGAATGTACGATCGGCAAGGGATTTCCAAAGTTTTTTTTTTTCTTACTTAAAAAGAAATTCTACAAGATAAACATGCGAAAATGAATTGAAGAAAAGTCTCGCGTAATCATATTATACATAGTCAAACATATGATATAGTTTCACATTCTTACTTTTCTTAATAATAGTAGTATAATAATAGAATATTTCAAATGCCTTACAAAATTTTCACAGTTCCCATTACTATTAAACAAACATTAGTATGTTTTCTTTTTTTTGATAAACAGACGATGCATTATCTAATTCTCAAGAGGAACACATTGTTTTCATTGTTTAATCCCAATTGACTTATAACGTTCGATTCTGAAAAAAAATTTTTTTTTTTTCGCACGTTTTGGATATCTCATAATATCCATCTATCTCTAAATTGATGATAATAACAACTAGAAAACTAATATCTATGGTTTTTTTCTCCATTAAGATATTCATAATCAAATAATATATTGAAAAAAATAATATATATATATATGCAAACAGTAGTTTAATATAACTTTTAGTTCTCTACTAATGCACTCAGTGTGACGTATGTTCGAACATTCTTTCTACCTATTGCTTTTTCAATTAAGGAAGCCACAAAACGAAGTCTATGTTAACAAATTCAATAAAGAAAAAGAAACAAGTCTTTATAAAATATACTACAAAAAGAATTTATTATTTTAAAATAAAATATAATATTTTTCATTATAATACAAGAAAATAGTTCATATATATTTATTAGAACTATTATCATCATCATCATCATCATTCATCGATAGCTCAAAAAAAAACCGATGCGTTAAATAAATGACCGTTAATCCTTGATTTAACTTCTTTATTATTTTCACATGAATAATAACCTCATTTTAATATAATTTGATCAATTTTTATCCTTCGATCTAAGCTAAAATGAATACGATTCATATCATTGACCATCTACTGTCTATCACTTGTGTATATATATATATATATATAAAGAATGTGAATATGACATTTATTTTCGTAAATTTCCATATTTTTCTTTTTCCTTTCTTATCCTTTCTTGTCATCACATCAATGTTAAATGGTGTTAAAAGACTAATCAATATACGAAGACAATATAATACAGTTCATTTCTTACAATTAATATCTATGTCATTCAATAATAGTCAAACTATAAGAATGGAATTTTATCTTTTCTTTGTTCCTATAAAACAGATTTTGTTTTTCTTTCTATTAAGCAGACCATTGTAAGATCATTTTACACATATACAAATAACGTCTTAGATATATTGTTATTCTTTTATCGACACTCCATCACGTCTTTTCAGACAATAGATTATAGGCATGAGAACTGTTAAAAAAACAAAATAAAAAAAAAAGAAGAAGTTTTTCTAAATCATTAATCAATTGTTATTTGAAAGAAATGAATGTCTTGTATATCGATCGATTACACAGCAGGTTGTAAATGCTGAAAAAACAAATAAAATATCAACTCACTCTAATGGATTGTATTTTTGAATTCGAATCAGTATGAGATATTCGTTCTGAACCACATGATGAAAACCATTTAGTCCATTTTTTAGTCCATGCTAACGGATTTTTCACAGACATTTGTCCTTGTTGTTGTTGTTGTTGTTCACATGTATAGACTTTTGGCTCATTAGATCGAGAATCAGTAATAAATAATGTTGGAATATGTTGATTTTTTAATATGAATGATGGCGATGGTAATTGTTGTCGTTTTGGTGTTTTTTTTATCCATTGATTACGATGATCATGATGATGTAAATTGTTATTGTTAGTTGAATTAATCATTGGTTTTGTTAGAAGTCGGCACCTTATGATGTTCTATATCTCTTCTCTCTTGGTAGTGATTGTATAGAAAAAAGAAAAAAGATATAAATGTAAATCACAGAAGAATAAAACGAGATCAATGTTCAATCATTTGTTATCTTCGATTCTATTTGTCTTGTTATTGCTCTTTTGTTTTTTACTTGATATTTTCAATGTCAATTGTAAATTAAATAGAATAATTAAAGAACGTAATATAAAGCGGTAGAAATTCTAATGATAATGATTGTATAGAAAAATGAGAATAACAAGATGATCAACGTTATCAATGTATGTATATATAAATATATAAAAGACCACCGGTCAAACCATCTATCATGGATAATCGCGTTAATATAAGATGTATATGATTATTATTAAAGAACAAACCAACGACGATGAAGAAAAAGAAGAAGAAGAAGGAATATTCGGTTCGCCGACGGCAATGGTCACATAGCAGTAAAACTACAATCAACAAAAAGAAAGAGGTGGTAGAGAGAGTAAAGAAAAGAAGAGAAGAAATCAATGACATTTGGGTAAAAACTAAAGAGGGAGAGAGAGAGAGAGAGAAACGAATAGTAAAAGCTAGGTACAAGACAAGCCGACAGGTGATGACAGTTGAGTAGGTGTCATGATACACGTATATAAATAAGCTACTGAATGATTTTACAAGTACTAGTAATTTAAGAAGAAAAACAACAACTTTTCTATCTATCCTATAGACTATAGACAAGTATCTTTTGTTTCGAATATGAAATAAAAAAAAGATCTGATTTCATATTAACTATACAATTGGTGAGATATTTTGATAGTAACTATATTTTTGTTATACTTTATTAAATATATACACTTAGCAGATGTCCGGAAGGAAGTACTTTTCATTGAGATTATGATAATAAACTATAGAAGATAAAACAACAAAAGCTTCTTGTTTTTTTTTTTCGTTCTTTATTAAATTCATGAAATCTTATTTTTATTTGATAGAATAGATAAAAACGTTGAAATTTATATTTGATATTTTTGATGATAAATATGATTCACTTACTTCAAAATGCTTTCGGCATTTAAATATCTATTTATGTATCTTTTTTATTATAATATTTATGTATATGATTATGTTGAACAGGTGTATGTATAGACAACAGTCTTGTTCTGATACTATTATCTTTCAATTGACGAACAACAAGACAAAATTAAAAAAAAAAAGAAGAACATTGTGTCAATGAGAGACAGAAAGAAAGTAAACGATATTTTTGATGATGTATTTTTCTATTCATGAATTGCTCTTACTTGAATATTATTATTGTTTTCAATGATAATAATGATGATATATGTTCCTGTCTCATATATGGTTCATGAGAGTTCTCATTATATATAGGAATGATGAGAAAATCGATCAAAGAAAAAAAAGAAAAAGAAAATAAAAATTCTCTCATAGACACTTTTTATTTAACTGTCTCGAGTATCCTACTACTATATAACTAACTACTTGATAATGTAAATGAATGTTTCTATTCTTAGTATATGTAATAATCAATAAATTTACAAAATAGTAATTAATATTATGTAGAGAAAATTTGTTTTATCTTATCTACCTGTTGACTATTTATGTTAGTAAAACGAAAAAATGTCAACTAACGATTGATTGATTGATTGATAGAAAAATGTTAGTAGAGATGATTAAGGGTATGATGATAGAATACAGAATAGTGAAAGAATGAGATAATTGATCAATGATTTTGATGAAAGTTTAGAATATAAAGTAAATGATCTGAATAGTTATATGTCAAGTCTTTTTAAATGATCTATTGAGATGGATACGTTTTGTAAGTAGAATATATTTAAGATTTTACAAAAAATTGAAGTTTAGCTTTGTTCAATTGAGATTGTTCATTAGTAAATGATCCGACTGTTAGTTGCTCAGTGATCAAGTTGGATTCTATAATTTGCAGTGATGATACATGGAATGTTTTTTTTTTTTTTGAGGTAAAACTATTAAACCAAACATTCGTCTCGATTTTGAGTAAACTCATCCAATGTGTAATAGTATTGTTTTTTATTTAATTGTTATTAACCATTCATACTCATTATTTTCATCAACCTATTCCTGGATCAGATTTTATATTTGTACTTTAAATAGTCAACTCCCTTGTTTATTTTCGTTCTATAGCACAATCTTTTTTGAGGAATGATCTAAGTAACATTATATTCGTTGATTTTGTTTCCATAATGGTTACTTGATATTTAGAATGCATGAGAAGTATTACGTAAAAGTTATTTTAGAAGACGATCGAGATATGTTCAGTAGTGCATTGCCTTTTTCATGTTTCATTCAATCGAGTATATTGAAATTAGAAAAAAAAAAGTCTAAAAGAATTCGAAAATCAAGTTAAGAAATATCAACCAAAAGTTTTGTCTAAAGAAAGGTTTAATAATCTTTAGAATGTCGTAAAAGTTTCAGCTAAAACAAATATACTTTTCTAAAGATTGATCGCTCATATTCGTTTTTAGCTGAAACTTTTATGATATTCTAATGATCTTTAGATTTATCTTTGGAAAAATTTTTTTTGTAGTTATCGATGGACAGGCGAAAAATTCAATATAACAGTCCTACTTAATGATAAATTAGCGATAGGTTCGAATCATTTGAGTATTTTTTTCCCTAATTTCAATACATTCCTTTGAATAAATCAAAATAAAACTGGACACATTGGATATTTCTGTGGTAACTAACAAAAATTAGTGTTATTCAAGAATTTATATTGATTAGTATATTTTTTTTTTAATAATAAGATAGATTCATGATGAAAAGCTTTTTTTCAGTCTCTGTAAACGAATATAACTGTATCATACATAAAGAAAAAAAAGTATCGCAATTTCATGGTAATATAATCTATTATGGAGTGTCGATATTTCTTTTGCCACATATTTGAAATAGACATTTATCTTACATATATCTCTATACAATGAAGATGAATACAAGCCTTGTGAATGATTTATATTGATGATAAATATCCTTTGTTTCTGTGTACTAGAATATTTAATTAAAAAGTCTATAATCTTGTCATTACTTCAAATATTTACATATATTTTCCGTAAAAAAACAAATATGAAATCCCTAGATTGATGTAGTACAAAAATGAATAAAGGAAATGATAAGTTCCGATGATTTTTATTGTTTTCATTTCTACTTTATTTATTTAACAAGTGTTATACCTGAATTGAGTTCTTTCCGTATTTATATTGTTTTAGTTTTATTTAAACTATTATTTATTGTTTTTGTGCAAAATTGATTTTTGAAACATCATAAAATTCATTTTTATGATCTTCTGATTTTTATTAACTATTGTTAGATATTATAATAAATTAATTCCAAGAATTTCAAATCGAACTATTCTATTATTCTAATTATTATTTGTAGTAGAAATAGAATATTAGTCATATTGAAATTCTAATAACGAAACTTATTCAATAACTTGATGTACGACAAGGAATAGATCTTGTCTCAAGAGTATGCCTATCAATGGATATGAACGATAATTGAATAAGAACGAATTATCTGTTTTTTTTTTGTTGTTTTGTTTTGTTTTGTTTTTTTTTGAGTAATTCTTAAGGGACTACATTGACGGCAAGAGTTTCGATCATGATGAATAATGCTTATCTTAAGGAACTGGACGACATGTTAAGAATACAATGGTGGATTTCATTGTATCAATATAAATTGATCTTTTATAAATCATATGCCACTAATTTATTATAAATATTTTTAAATATACAAATAAATAAAACATATGTATTAATTTAGTTCAATTAGATTGAGGTATAAAGATTTCTTTTCTTTTTTTTTATCGAATTAAACCTATCGATATAAAATATATACACTAACTAATCTTTGATTAACTAAACCCTGTTATTATGTAAATGTAATGATTATATATATCCTTCGATTCTATTATTATTATTATTATTATTATTATTATTATTAGCTAACGACAAAAAAAAAATTATTCAATAAAAAAAAAATGTTATAATAACATAGGAAAAAGTTACTTTCTTTTTTTTTGGTGTTATATATAGTAATGTAGTTCTAAAAGATTCTCTTTATCATATACTGTTCATTTATCTAATTCGCATTAACACCAGCTGGTGTCTATCATCATAGTATGGTCTCAATTTTATGCTTATAGGTCCCACCAGCTGCTTGTCTTCTTTTTCTTTCCTGTATCTGTAAAAACAGGAAAAAGAAAAAAGAACAACATAAGGAGTCAAACTATGGGATGTGTGTTAATTGGGTTGATAGTCGAGTCAAAAGGCAAGCGGAAATAGTATGATGTGCAAACGACACACATACACACACATATATATATATACAGAATGTAGTCAAGAAAAAAAAAACAATGAAAATCACCGATTGACGCAACGTACAAATGCATTATAGTATAATCTAATATGACAGAAATGATCTTTGTTCGGAATAATGATGACATATTGACAAATGATCATAATACTAACTAGAAAAATATGGAATCGACTTAGTTCATTATTTGACAAAATTGTTTTTTTTTAATCTAATAAATAAGAAAGAAAAATATCAAAATGATAGCAAAAAAAAAAATCGGTGATCAATGTATAAATTTATTATTATTATTTTTTTTGTATATATATATATATAGAGAGAGAGAAAGATTCGATCGTAGACAGTTATATTTTATATTCAGCTTTTCCATTCTTCTCCTGAGAAAAACAAGAAAATAGAATAAGTAGATTAGGATTTCTTTTTCTTTTTTTTTCGTGTTTAGAAATAATCAGGTTTTGTCTTAAATTTAACTTTGCCAGATGTATTTCCCAATTCATCAATATTATCTGTAGTTGTAGACGTGGGTTCTTTTTCTTCTGATTGTTCTGTAGTTTCATCATCATTATCTTCAAATGAACATTCAAAACGTTTTACCCATGGATCAAGTGTATCATCATCATCATCATTA